TCCAAGCATCAAAAGCAGCGTCTTCCTCCTGCTGATGCTTGGAAATCCTGGCCCAGAATAGGTTCATGCTCAAGGTGTCGCGCAACTCAGGACACAGCTTGACCGTGCACTGGCACAACGTGGGATTTGCGAGGATGGCATCGAAGGCTTTAGGGCAGGCCTTCGAGCACCCGACCGCGTCTTTGATCGTGCTGCCATAGTCGTCGTTTATGCCCAGCGCATGGCCGACAACGTCCTCACACAAGTCCTCGCAGAAGCCAACCTGGCTGCTAGTGAGCTTGGGCCCTGAAGGGTTGCTGAGGATCCAATCAGCCATCTCTTGAGACAAATCGGAGTAGGAGGAGTCTGCAAGGCTCTGGAGTCTCGTGAGCATGGGTTCGAAAGTATTCTCGATCGAATTGGACTTCAGCCACATGACCCAGTCGAAGGTAGATTGTGTGCAGGTGTTACTGGTGTCTTTGGATTCCGGAACAGTGCAAAACTGGGGCAGCATGGAATTCCAATTCATTGGGGGCCCAACGTAGCTCGGAAATGGGATGTAAAAGGGGACCTCTGTCACACAACCTGTGATGCAAGACACATTCTCGCCCTCCCACATGCTGTTCTCCAGTCTAGCTCCTGCGATTCCTGTGGCATTGTAATACCACTCATACTTGCAATTTGCAGCTGGAGGTATACCATGCAAGAAGCCGAGGTAAGAAGCCTTCAGCAGCGAGGCGTAGGTCCCGGCTTTGCCTCGTAGGGCTGAGAGCGCGGCCTTTGTTTCATTTTCAAACGTGGCAAAAACTGCCATCTGAGCCATGATGTTGAGATGGATCAGAACGTATTGAAACTGATAGACTATGGCTCCAGTAGCCCAGAAGTCTTGGCAAACTTGACTAGCACTTTCGAAGGGCACAGGTTGCATGGGGACACTGAGAGGCTTGATGCAATCTGCACCATTCCCGAAGATGTTGTACTCCTCTGCGTCCATGGTGCGGATGTACCCCTCCAGTACAGAGTACCACTGCTTATGCTTCTCCACTTCTGAGCTGCCGGGACTTACCAAGAAGTCTTGGGCCATGTTTGATAGCATGTCCATGAAACCGGACAATTGCCCCTTGGCTGCATTCGTGGCATCCTGCACCTCTTGGGCTCGCACGATCTCCTGCACCTGCTGCATGATTTGGTCGTAAAGCTTCGACAAAATGGACTCGGTGTCATCCCCGAAGAGGGACAACCCGAAGGTCACTGCCATGCTCAGGATGGGACCAACCCCGGGCACCAAATCGACAAGACCCCCTACAACAGAGCCGATGCCTTTGACATAGTCCACCCAGTTTCCACCACCACTCTCAGCAAAGGCCATAGTGTAGAGGAGGCCATTGATAAGGCAGCCTTGAAAAGCAAAGTTGTGGAGTGGTTTCCCATACTGGTCGAGTGGACCCCATGTGATATCCTTCCATGGCAACTTGGCCATCTGTTCTGCGACATCTGCGAAAGAATTCCACTTCGGGTCCTGGCGATGCTTCTGGCGCTTCCGCTGTTTCAAGCTGAAGGCCACCAAGCTGTTATCCTCACAGTCTTTGCATGAGGCCGCTGCTCGGGACACCCACCAGGCCGCAATGCACAAGAGGAGCTTCCATGGCGATGCCGGTGGGTTCATCCCTGAGACTTTGAACCAGAAAGGCTTTGAGACATTCAAGCAAACATGAAGGCATCCTGTACAATGTAGCCCTGGGCCTTTCCGCAACTTTAGGCTCACTAGGGCATCCAAAAAGGATGGTTTCTCTCGAGGCATCAACTGCAATTTCGAAGCGCTTGTCTCCTCTGCACTCAACTCGTGACAACACACCTTTCACATCATCCAGCCTCCACGAGATGTCACGAAAAGAGCTTCCAAGGCTAAGGGTTTCCTGCGACGCTTCCATGCGGGAAGTATCTAGAGATGTGTTCAACCAATTTGCCATTTTGTTTTGCAATAAGAACCCTCTTGAAAACTTAGGTGTGAGAAAATGTGAGAGTATGTTAGCTAAACGAAAATCTGATTTATATGTAGACATCCTTCTTTCTTGAAGAACCCTTCGCTCAAATGCTCTTAGGAACAAAGGAGATGACATGACTAGGTGAAGCACGCTGAACTCCAAAACCACATGAGCGGTTTAGAGTTCCGACCACTTGAGACGTAGGGATTCTAAAGTTGCTCGCGTCGGGTGCGGACGATGCTGTGAGGCACTCCATCTGCGATTCTTGATGTCGCAGGCTTCCGTCAAAATACAAAAATCTACAACATAGTATAATATGATACAGTAGATTGTAACCTTATATAGAATATAGGAATATAAGAATATTTCGATATAAGAGTAGAATTGAATATACTAAATGCTGAAGTCTGCTCCGGCACTGCGATCGTGCAGCTGGAGCAGGCTCTTCCCATTTGGGAAGGCCTCTCACTTCTTTGAAGATCTCGACCTGGGGTGCAGGGCGTTGGGGTTTAAGCTGGGTTCCCCCCGGTTTAGGGTTTAGGGTTTAGGGTTTAGGGTTTAGGGTTTAGGGTTTAGGGTTTAGGGTTTAGGGTTTAGGGTTTAGGGTTTAGGGTTTAGGGTTTAGGGTTTAGGGTTTAGGGTTTAGGGTTTGACCCTCACCCAATGCGCTGCGCTCCCCAAGCAAGGCATGCAGTCGACCAAGTGGGGGAAGAAAAGTGCTCCAAGTAATAGCCCCGAAGGAATCGAGAGCTGGAAACCCTAAACCCGACAACCCTAAACCCCTAAACCCCTATAGTTGAAGGGGGAGTTTAGCCTGGCAGAGAAGGGCTCAGGAGCCACAACCAGATGACGGAGCGGGCAAGTCTCACTCAAACCCCTAAACCCTGAACCCTAAACCCTAAACCCATGGCTTCGAGCAAGCGAAGGCAGGTCGAAGTATCCACGTTCAACGCGTGCCCGGGTTGCAAGAGGCAGCAGCTCTACGAACCCTAAACCCTAAACCCTAAACCCTAAACCCTAAACCCTAAACCCTAAACCCTAAACCCTATGACACTTGGAACCCCCTCTTTCCCTGAAACCCTACAACCCTGGAACCCTGAGCTCTAGAACCCAAATCAGCCCCCCCCCTTCACTTGCAAGCCCACTCGGATCGTCATAAGCCCCCCTAAGTCCTCTGAGTAGGGTTTAAGTAGACTTGTATTGGGGTTATAAGTACACTAACCCCCAAACCCCAAACCCCAAACCCAAAACCCCCAAACCCCCAAACCCCTAAACCCCAAACCCCAAACCCCAAACCCAAACCCCAAACCCCAGACCCCAAACCCTACACCCTAAACCCTAAACCCTAAACCCCAAACCCCAAACCCTAAACCCCAAACCCTAAACCTCCCAAGCCGACTGCAGTGGCCCGAGGCCAGGGCTCCGGTTGGCCAGTGTACCTTTGCACCACCGTCCGGCCAGCGGAGCTCTGGAGCCTGGGGTCTGCACGTCCCAGTTTGTAGGGTTTAGGGTTTAGGGTTTAGGGGTTTAGGGTTTAGGGTTTAGGGTTCGGGGTTTGGGGTTTGGGGGTTTAGGGTTTGGGGTTTAGGGTTTGGGGTTTGGGGTTTGGGGTCTGGGGTCTGGGGGTTTGGAGGTTTGGGATTTAGGGTGACTGAAGTTAGTTGGAGTTACTAAGTGCTCATGTCCGGGCAAAGTTTTGAGAGTTCAAGTGAACTAAATAAAAACGAAGTGCTTTTTCTCGACTTATTTGTCCAGACTTTGTCCAGACCTGAATTCGCCTTTTGTTCGATCAGACCATTTTCCGGATGGTTTCATGTTACCGGGCCTAACAACCATTCTTGCTCGTACGATCTTGAGGGTTCAGGCTCAGGCCTTAGCAGGGTTTAGTGTTTAGGGTCCAGGTTTCTGCGTTTTGTGTCGAGAAACACAGAGGGTGGTAGTAGTAGTAGTAGTAGTAGTAGTAGTAGTAGTAGTAGTAGTAGTAGTAGTAGTAGTAGTAGTAGTAGTAGTAGTAGTAGTAGTAGTAGTAATAGTAGTAGTAATAGTAGTAGTAGTAGTAGTAGTAGTAGTAGTAGTAGTAGTAGTAGTAGTAGTAGTAGTAGTAGTTAGTAGTTAGTAGTTAGTAGTTAGTAGTTAGTAGTAGTAGTAGTAGTAGTAGTTAGTAGTTAGTAGTTAGTAGTTAGTAGTTAGTAGTTAGTAGTAGTAGTAGTAGTAGTAGTAGTAGTAGTAGTAGTAGTAGGAGTAGTAGTAGTAGTAGTAGTAGTAGTAAGTAGTAGTAGGTAGTAGTAGTAGTAGTAGTAGTAGTAGTAGTAGTAGTAGTAGTAGTAGTAGTAGTAGTAGTAGTAGTAGTAGTAGTAGTAGTAGTAGTAGTAGTAGTAGTAGAAGTAGTAGTAGGAGGAGTAGTTGGTGGTGTCCATATTTTCATGGGCGGTCTTGCAGAGGGTGGTCTGCAGAGAGGCACCAAGCCCTCTTCCGTATGCCCCAATGGCCCTACCCCCTAGCTGTAGCCAGGGCTGCGGCCATTGCCGAAAGCTCAGCAGCTGGCCCGGAGCCGGCTTGCAGAGTTCTGGGCAGGGGCTTCAGATGGGCTTTAGGCCGGCGGCTTAGGGCTGGGAGGTGAGTCGAGGATTCCCGCGCTTGCTTTTCTTCTTCCGCAGGTACGCCCCATTCCGACCCCTCCACCTCCCTCCCTTGAGGGAGGCGGATCCGCCTCCGCCGGAAAAAGGCGCGTGGGGCCTCATTGCCTCGCGGTTCCTGAGGTCCCTCGACACTCGGGCCGCCTTTTGCAAAGAGGGTGGCACGTAGGGGGGTTGTTCCAGGCAGGGGTCCCCCCCTTGAAGACAAACTCTCTAGATGCGTATCGACTCAAAGAAAAAGAGAACTCCCCTGAAAGGGGCCCCAGAGGTTGGCACAAACCCCCACAGCTGCTCTCCATACTTCCGGACTACTGGATTCAGCTCCTACCAGGGGTGATTCTTGAAGGCGTAAGGCCGAAACGTTCCCTGCCTTTTCCGTGCCCAGAAACGTCCTAAGCAGCTACGCGCAGAGCGGGCTCAGGAGCCTCTTCAAGAGGTCCTTGTACCTGGGTTCCATCTCGGCTCTAGGGCCTCTAAGGTGTAAACCCTAAACCCTAAACCCTAAACCCCGAACCCTAAACCCTAAACCCTAAACCCTAAGCCCTAAGCCCTAAGCCCTAAGCACCCTAGGCTTCAGACACCATGGCCAACCTGGGGCAAACTGCCAAAAACCAGGGGTGCTGAGATGCTTCCAAAGGGCCTCAGGTCTAGGATTCATAACTACAGGGCTTAGGGTGTTTTAAAGGGTTTAGGTTTGTAAAGGGTCTAGGGCTTTTAGGGGTTTAAAGGCTTTAGGTCTTTGGAGGTTTATGGGTCTTTTGCGGTTTTTTGTTGGAGCTAGGCAGGTTGCTTGCCCGCGCGCCGAGGGAGGGCGCAGTAGTTCAAAGGGATCCAGGCCTTGCCAGAGCACTGCGGCTGTGGGGTCGGGAGCTTTAAGGGACTGTAGGGTTTGCTATTTCGCAAAAAACCCTGGAGCAAGGAAGAAGAAAGGTTGGACTTTACGATTTCCTACAAGATGTGGAAGTCCACGAGGGTTGTGCTTACGGTCAACGTTCAAGACCTTACAAGCTTGGGGTTTTTGGGACGCAGGATTTAGGAAGCCTTCCCACCCCTGCACCTTAAACCCCAAACCCAAATCAGGCTTTAGGCTTTAGGCTTTAGGCTTTAGGCTTTAGGCTTTAGGCTTTAGGCTTTAGGCTTTAGGCTTTAGGGTTCAGGGTTCAGGGTTCAGGGTTTAGGGTTTAGGGTTTAGGGTTTAGGCTTTAGGCTTTAGGGTTTAGGGGTTTAGGGGTTTAGGGGTTTAGGGGTTTAGGGGTTTAGGGGTTTAGGGGTTTAGGGGTTTAGGGGTTTAGGGGTTTAGGGGTTTCGGGGTTTCGGGGTTTAGGGGTTTAGGGGTTTAGGGGTTTAGGGGTTTAGGGGTGTAGGGGTTTAGGGGTTTAGGGGTTTAGGGGTTTAGGGGTTTAGGGGTTTAGGGGTTTAGGGGTTTAGGGGTTTAGGGGTTTAGGGGTTTAGGGGTTTAGGGGTTTAGGGGTTTAGGGGTTTAGGGGTTTAGGGTTTAGGGTTTACGCTGCTGATTTCTGTGTCCGCCTCCGCCCATGCCGGCAGGGGATACCTTGCTCGAGTTGGGCTGGGACATCGTTGGGCTCGTGGGCTTAGATCAAGACTTCAGCTTACAGGGGGCCAGGGTTCGAAGGGCTTCGCACCAAACATTACCTCCCACAAACCTCCCATAAACCCCCGTTTGAAACCCTTATCGACCCCTATACAGCCCCTGTAAAACCTCCCATAAACCCCCTTTGAAACCCTTATCGAACCCTCTACAGCCCCCAAAAAAAGCTCCCTGTAAAGGCCCAGGGCACTGGACGTAGGTATCCAGCAGCAAGGTTGCCAAGTCCAGGCGGTCGATCGACTGCGCCGAGGCCCTTCACGGCACGGAGAATTTAGGGGGGGGTTGGGGTTGAGGGTTCAGGGTTTCAGGTTTAGGGTTTAGGGTTTAGGGTTTCGGGTTTAGGGTTTCGGGTTTCGGGTGTATGGAGGTATAGAGGCCTGAGGGTTTCGGGTTGGGTTAATAGTAATAGCGGTTAAACCCCAAACCCTAAACCCTAAACCCTAAACCCTAAACCCTAAACCCTAAAGGCTCTCCTTGATAGCTTTTGCCGGCGCACGAGGTCCTCCGTCAGCCGGCCAAGAACCGCCTCCAGGCCTTAAAGCTGACTTTCCCAACCAAGAGCCTACACAAGCACATGGGGGGGTTTCCGAAAATAGGGGGTACCCTTTTTGGGGGGTCCCTTGAAGGGGATTCTTTTCCGTTTTGGGGGATAACAGGGGTACCTCCAGTTTGGGAAATACCCACATGCACTCAGAAAACCTCCAAGCCCTGAGCCCACAATCCTACGTCCCTAGCATTCCGATTGCGGCGCAAGAGTGCCGGCCCCAGCGGCTGAGCTGATCTTCCGCCGCACCTGCCCGGAATCGGAGCCGCTCCTCGCGAGACGCTGACGCGGGCTTGTTTGGGGTGGAGATTCGTTACCCCCCTCCTGCTCACCCCCCCCCAGGCCCCACGAAGCGGTAAAGAAAAAGCACGAACCAGGGAAGAACAAACTACCATCAGACCCTGAGCTCCTGAACAGTGAAGCCTGAAGCACGGCATGCTTACAAACAGGCCCAGCGACGGACGCTAGGAACAACCACGACACTTCATGAGAGGTCAGAGTCTTCTTTTGAGCGTTGCTAGGAGAGAACGGGCTTCTGCACTTCTGCTGATGTGGCCCTAAACCCGCCCCGAAAGCCCCCCAAGGGTGGAAAGCCGTCCTCTTCCGAGGCGAAGCACCGTGCCCTCCACATGGCAGCAGCTCTTTTTCGGGGGGGCGGGGGGGGGGGAGGGGAGGGGGGAGGTCTACAGGGCCCAAAAGCTTCTCAGACCTAAACACCGTAAACCCTAAGCCCTAACCCCTGAACCCCCTAAACCCTAGTGAGGTCAGGGCCACCAGCCTGTAGACGATGGTCATCCGCAGGTCGGACGAGTTGTATGTCTGAAGAACCTTCAGGCAGCTGGAATGCACGACGGCCCCGTGAAGCAGAAGGCCTGCGACCACTGCTAGACCGTACTAACAATATAAGAAGAATGAAATAGAAATGATGTAACAAGCATCAGAATCATAATCATAATCCTAATCATAATCATAACGACAGTAATAGCACTGACAACAAACAAACAACGTAACATAACAACAATATAACAACTTACGAATATAAAAGCAGTCCATATATTCATATAATGTAGAGTTTCAGGCTGTTCGTTCAAGACGGCAGGTAAACGTGTGGACGGCATATAAACTTCGCCTCCCCGTCGCTTCGGAGCTCCCATTGCTCATCGCCCACCTTCACCAAGGTAGTAGGAGTTCAGGGCTCCAGAATTCTCAGGGTTTAGGGTTTAGGGTTTAGGGTTTAGGGTTTAGGGTTTAGGGTTTAGGGTTTAGGGTTTTAGGGGTTAGGGTTTAGGGTTTAGGGTGTAGGGTCTTCGGGATTTGGAGCTTGGGGTTTGGTACGGGTGGGGGCATTAGGTCTTTGGGGTTTGGGGAGTACGGACATCGTCAATGGCAGACCGCCGGCTTGCAGGCGACCGGAAGAGCTCTGAGCCGCCAGCATAGAAGAGCGCGTTGTCTTTGTCCTGCTGTGCCGACATCAGGGAGGACTGCGCTACCATCCCGGGCACATACTGTCGGCCCGACCATAGACGTGCATGAGTTTTGGGACGTGTATGGCTGAGCCCCCGACTGTCTCAAGAAACAAGAGGCACGCAAAAGGCCAGCAAACTTCACAGCCTTAAAGCCTAATCAACCCTTCAAAATTGAAAGCCAGGCGCTTGGGCCCTGAAATGTGTTTCAGGGGGGTCCTTGTCCAGCAGCGGCGCCTTCACGTCAGGCCGGAAGACGCCGGCCGCGTGTAGCGTCTTGCTCCCGTCCACCTGAGCTGTGGATTGGAATGTTCCCCTTACACTAACAGTTACTAATAGGGATTATATTAGGTGGTACTAGAATCCCTATTAAGGACTGAACAAACTGCGGAGCTGAAAGGCGTAGGGTTCTCAGGGTGTTGGGCTTTGGGGCTCTCCAACCCCAAAGGCCCCCAACCCCAGCTCTATGGGCACCAGAGCCTTGTGCACTCTTTGGGAGGCCCTGAACCACCATCCCCACGCCTACACCCCCAACCAAACCCCAAAACCCCTCAAACCAAGACCCCTAAACTCCGAAAACCCTACCCGAACCCCCCCCCCCCCCCTCCCCCCCAAGCTCCTAAACTGTATGCCGTGGAAGCCCCTTAAACCCCAAACCCTGAACCCCTAAACCCTAAGCCCCTATACCCATATAGAGCCCCTAACGCCCCAAAGCCCCAAAGCCCCAAAGCCCCAAAGCCCCAAAGCCCCAAAGCCCCAAAGCCCCAAAGCCCCAAAGCCCCAAAGCCCCAAAGCCCCAAAGCCCCCAAGCCATACATGCTAGGCCAGGTGGCCGCCACTCCCGAGAGGGGCTTGGACAGGATTGCCTTCGGGGTCGCCGAGTTCTCGTCGTAGTACAGGAAGCGGCCTGCAGAATAGGGTTTAGGGTTTAGGGTTTGGCGGTTGGGGTTTGGGGGTTTGGAAAGTTTGGGGGTTTAAGGGTTTACGGGTTTAGGGGGTCAGGGGCTTAAGGGTTTAGGGTTAGGGTAGTGCTTCGGCAAGTGAACGACGGGGAGAGCAACCCTAACCCTAAACCCTTGTCGAAGGTCGCGAAAGCTGCAAGAACAACAAGGTGCAAGTACGTGGCAAAAAGCAGGCCAGCTACCGTCAATAACACACAGAGCCCGCAAAAATGTTGGTCAATCTGCGTCATGCCCCACCTCCGGAATCATCGTCAAGGGCGGGACGATCATGCAGGTATCCAACGACCTGCACCTGCTTGAAGACTGGTTGCAAGGCAACAGGCGTTCGAGGGCGCTTAGGTCGTGTACTGCAGGGTGAGACCCCCGAGTTTAAGTAAAGCTCGCGCGTGCTTCAGGCAAGGGGATGGCGGACCGCCATGCGCAGACTCGACGAGGGATACTGCCGTTGAAGCAAAAAGAAACGGATCGGTTCGGTTCTTTGCCGCTTCAGGGGAACTGCTTGAACGGCACCCGGAAACGAGGAACTGACTTTGAATTCGAGACCCTCACCGTTCGCCTGGTCCACAAATCGATCCTGGAAGAGGTTGGAGAAGACCATGACAGCCAGCCTGACCCGAAACCCGCAACTGCTAACATTTCATTCTGAGTGGCAAAGCAAGAGAACTGAACAGAAAAGCCCCCTTCTGCCGTGAGGCCATAGGTTCTGGATTGCTGTCATAGCTAGATTTGGAAATTTGGGAAGAGCAGCGGGAGAGGGTTCGCGGAACTACTTGGAGGTCCATGGTATAGTTAAGGCGGGGGTAGAAGCAGGACAGCTGTGTGCTGGCTGCGACCTTAGTTGGGGCACTGCTAGGCCGACTTGTGACTGTTCATGCGCAAGGTACCTGCTAGCTTTTGGCAATTTCATTATCATGAGGGTTGAGGGTTCGGGGATGCCCTCTCGAATTCTGAGTTCTGGATCAGCCCCTAAACCCCCGGCTTCATTCTGAAACGGCAGCTGCAACAAGAATCTCGGCAAGGAGCAGCCACTGCGGGAACTGGAAACCTCAGCGCCGCTCGCATGCAGATACAGATGCACATATATACACCTATACACATATACACAGAAACACATATACACATATGCACATACACATATACACATCGGTACAGGTATACATATAATATGTACATATGTACATATGTACATGCACCCATCCCTGTCGCTTAATTAGGGTATGAGGTTTAAGGCGTACGAGGACTAGGATGGGTGGGCAACTTGAGCACACCCTCCTCAAACTACGCGACAGATGGAAGCCATGCAAGCAGAGCCTCCTAGGGTTTAAGATTCAGGTTTAGGGTCTAGGGTTTAAGATTCAGGTTTAGGGTTTAGGGTTTAGGGTTTAGGGTTTAGGGTTTAGGGTTTAGGGTTTAGGGTTTAGGGTTTAGGGTTTAGGGTTTAGGGTTTAGGATTTCGGGTTTAGGGTTTGGGGTTTGGGGTTTTGGGTGTTGGGTCCTCAGCCTAGGTACGCGTGGCGCCCAGGAACCAGGGGGCGTCCAGGTGGAGAGCTACTGTCTGCCCCGGCACGGAGAGGATGAAGTTGTACTGAAATGGATCCTGGGGTCTTGGGGGCTTTAGGGTCAAAGGAAACGGGCTTAGGGTTTAGGGTTCAGGGTTGTAGTAGCGGGCCCAAGATTCCAACGTCTCCCTTTCAGGAATCATTGGAAGCTCCTGAGAATGAATTTGCGGCATAGCTTCTATCCACCACCAGATCTAAGACCCTAATACTTCAGGCCTAATTAAGCAACCTCCGTATGGTCATACTTGTTGTTGACCTCTTGGTTTTCGGGTAGTGTCCAAAGCAAGTATGAAACCCCGAGTGGTTGCGGGCAAGCGTCGAGCACTTGCTTGCTTGGGGGGCAGACGCCTTTGGCAGCACGCTGAAACTTGGGCCCAGCAAAGAGCTCCTCCACAACGGGCATCGCGGAGAGGTCGAACCTAGCGGGTTTCTCAGGGTTTTTCCAGGGATTTTGGGAGGGTTTTTGTAGAATATCTAGGGTTTCAGGGACTTTGGGCCGATTTGGGGAGGGTTTTTGTAGAATACCTAGGGTTCAGGGACTTTGGGGCCTTGGGATTCAGGAGCTTCTTGACCCGTGCCCTCCCCGGCGGCACCGAAAGGTTTCGAGGCCCAGCGGCATGTAGCGGCCGAAGGACGAGGCCCGCGAGACCATGTCCTCGAAGGGCTCCCGGATGGCCTGGCATGAGGCTACTGTAGGGGCCTTAAGAATTAGAATGGATTTTTTTTGTTTTTTTTTTTGGGGGGGGGGGGGGGGGGGGGGGGGGGGGGTTATTATAGTATAATAATAAAGGAACCACAGGGAATAGTATTCGTAATTATTCCGATTAAAGACCCCTGAAGCCTTAGTGGCTCTTGTACATGTCGCTCAGTGTTCGGCCGCTTTGACTCGTCAAGGGGTATTGGCGGGGGCGGCAAGTAGCGGCAAGAACGGAGAAGGCTCCGTGCTCCATGTTCGTGATTGCTGGCGTGTCTAGTCGCTTCCCAAGGGGGAAGCCACGATGTGCTTTGCTTCAAGGAGACCCAGCATGCTTATGTTGTGGCATGCCAGACTCCTGCCAAGAGGAAACCCACTGCTTCCTTAAGAAACCATCAAGCCGAGCAGTCTTCGCACCGTGATGTGAAAGGAGGATGCAGGAATGCGACCTTTACAGAAACTCAGAAGCCAGAAGTCGAGAAGCCCGAAGAAGAACAGCCCAAAAAAACAGGGAGGCGCGAGAAAACAGAAGCACCCTCAAGCGAAAATGCCCCATAAAAAGAACCACCGTCCCTCAAAAACCTGAACGCTGCCCTGACCTAGGGGGGAGTTGGGGACCCGATGACGAACATGAAAACTCTATGGGTTCTTAGGGTTATATAGTGAACCATTGGGGTCTATAGAACTGAAGACTTCAACAAAAATCCCCCCCAGTGACTCCTAAAAGCTGCACAGCCTCTGGGCCCCCGGTCATGATGTAGTGCTTGCCCACATCGATCCGTTGAGGCAAGATGCAGTCGGTGCCTTTGTTGTAGGATCCGTTTCGAAGAGGCTTCCCAAAATGGGACCACAATTCAGAAGCAGCCGTTTGAGCTCGGCGTTAAGGCGGACCGGTTGAGAAAACAAAAGGGTGAGTTTAGGATTGGGTCAGAAGCCGCAGGCACTCACCCCTCATGTTTGAAAGCTCACCTAGGGACCCTGAGTGGCCTGAATCCTAAACAAAACCGAACTAAACCCTAAACCCTAACTAGTCCTAGCACTGACCCTGAGGGCGCAGTCTTGGGCTGTGCTTGCTTAGGCGAAGAAGGCTTTTTGCAATTCTCTTTAGGCACACCTTCAGAATCCTAAGCCCTCTGCCAGTTTAGAGCCCTGGAAGAAGTCCCTAAACTCCCCGGGTTCGCATCACTGAGGCGCTGTTCCCATCGCGTACCAGGAGGTGGTGGGAGCAGCTCCCGTCCGCCTGCGAAGCATTGGTTTTAGGGAAGGGGGGACACGATTGCAGAACCATAGACTCCTCACGACGGCGGGCACAACCAGGAAATTCTTACTGCGTGAACAAGGTGAACGCAGGTTTAGCATGCTATTCATGTTGCACACGCGCCAAAATGGCGCGTATTCGTTCTCACTTGGCGCGTTCATTCCCTTAAGGCCCAAGATGAAGAGAAATCCGCCGAGGCCTCGGGCCGAAGGTGTACAGGTTCCTAATCCTCCCCCCAAGCGCAAACCCATACGTCGAACCCCTTTTTTGACCTGGAAAGGGTACCCCCCGTGGGCGACCACAATCTGAAAGCAGAGCCCCGCCCCCCCCCTAGGCTGCCAAACCCCCTGGCTTGAGGGGCCTGGCTCAACTTTACGATCAATCCAAGCCGAACCGTTTCAACCCTCAACCTTGAACCTTGTTGCATAAACCCAAAAAAACCTAAACCCCAAACCGTGAACCTTGAGCCCTACGCCCTCAACCCTAAACTAACCCTCAACCCTAAACCCTCAACCATAAACCATAAACCCGGAACCCTAAACCCTAAACCCAACCCTTATTGCTTGGGGTCCAGCGACTTGGGCGCTGCGGAACCACCATGCTCACGCGGATGCGCTGGGCCGGGCCGAGGCGGGTCGCGTAGCGTTAAGATTACAGTGAACAACGTGAAGCGTGAATTTGCCGTTCATTTTGCTGGGCCTTTCCTCGCGGCATAATAAGGCAAAATCTCCAGAGCCCCCCAAGCCACAGGTTCTGTCACCAGCTGACGACAAAGTTCAGTCCGTTCCTAACAGGCTCCAAGAGCCCAAGTTTTGTCAGCAGGTGACAAAATCCAACAGGTCAGATTTTGGTCGCCGGATAACAAGATCCATTCCTCCCTGTGTGGCTCCCAAGGACTACATTTTGTCATCCATGGTCCGATTTGGGGGGGAGGTTGCTGGTACTATCTTTGTGTTTTGAAGGGGGGTTCGCCAAAAATGCCTTTCCGAGTGGATTTTGTCATGAGGTGACAAAACATACGGGCGCCAAAAAAGAAACGATGGATGAGCCCGGCAGGAATCGAACCTGCTCCTTTCCGCGCCTCGAACCCGACCAGGAACGCACACCCCGACATTACGGCAGGTCAATTCGATCAACAGAATCAAACATTTTCTTGTCTTTTGAGAATCAAAATCCTTAGCTTCTCACCCTCGTGGTGAAACACAAACGTCCCGTACGAGCGTCAAAGAAGCTGCTGCTCCCCCTGCTGCTCCTACGCTCCCCCTACTTCTCCTGCTCCTCTCCTCCTGCTGCTGCTCACCCTCTTTATACCCCCCTTGTAACCACCCTTATCCCCCCCTGAAACCCCCCTCAAAACACCCTTATCCTTATACCCTTCTTTTTCCCCTCTTTTCCCACCCCCTTAGACCCCCTCTTATCCCGCTAATACCCCCCTTATACCCTCTCGATATAACTGTCTCATAACCTCCTTACACCCCCTTTATACTCCCTATACCACCCCCTTATACCCCCCTTGAAATCCCCCTTGTATCCCCCTTCTACCCTCCTTATACCCCCTCTTATACCCCCCTTATACCCGCCTCATCCCACCCTTATACCTTCCTCATAACCTCCTTCTAACCCCTCCATAACCCACTGAAAACCTATCTTTCGCAAAAAGCCAAAGAGCTATGAAAGTTTCGACTACAAAGATCCCACCGTAGTTTGAGCTTTTGAGGTCGGGGTTGATGGTTCAAGTTTTAGCAGGGTCCCCCGAAGGTGCAGCGCCAAGGGGCAGTAAGGTTTGGGGCTTTGGGGGTTTGGGGATAAAGGATTGGTTGAAATAGGCTTAAAGGATTGGGGTATGAGCCGAGTATGCATTACACTACTAAGAAGAACGCTAGGACAAGAAGAAGAAGAAGAAGAAGCAGAAGCAAAACGCCTAAACCCTCCAAGCCTTAAGCAATCCCCGCTGTCTTGGGTGCAGGGTTTAGGGTTTAGGGTTCAGGGCGTCCTCGAGGGGGCGAGCTTCACCCACGTGGCGGTGCAGTGGTTTCACGCCTGTCCTCGGCCCCATACACATGGCCGTGAGGTCTCTAGATGGTGGTCCCTTCACTAAAACCTTCAACACGAAGTTAGGAACCAGGAGCCCTAAACCCTAAACCCTAAACCCTAAACCCTAAATCCACAAGAGCCTTGGCTCCTTGGGACCCCAGGCGGCTTTAGGACTTACGCCGGCCTTTTGGGGTCCCCCACCTCCCCCCCTCCCCCCCTGCCCCCCCCCCCCCCCCCACCAGAAACACCATCCCAAAACCCAAGCAGGTTTAGGGTTGAGGGTTTAGGGTTTAGGGTTTAGGGTTTAGAGTTTAGGGTTTAGGGTTTTTTTGAAATGCAATGACTCCCTTTCTCCAAGCAAGCCCGCCCACATAAGGGCATGGGTTTAAGGCTTAGGGCTTGGGGTTTAGGGTTTAGGGTTTAGGGTTTAGGGTTTAGGGTTTAGGGTTTAGGGTTTAGGGTTTAGGGCTCCGGGCTCCCGGATCTTGAGCCCCTGAACTCTACTTGGGGGTTCATGGGTAGCTACTAGTAAAAAAATTTAGATGGGGTTATAAGTACCCTGGATAGGGCTATGAGTACAGTTACCATATTTGTAACCCTACTTATAACTACCCCTAAACCCCAAACCCTAAACCCCAAACCCTAAACCCCAAACCCTAAACCACAAACCCTGAACCCTAAACCCTAAATCCTAAACCCTAAACCCTAAACCCTACACCCCCTTGTCTGTCCTTCAGGAACCCCAGGCAAACCTCCAAAGGATGCTGGGCAGTTGCCAGGGCCAAAAGGAATCCCAGGCCAACCCTAAACCCTAAACCCTAAACCCTGAACCCTAAACCCTCAACCCTCAACCCTAAACCCTAAACCCTAAACCCCAAACCCTAAACCCTAAACCCATCCCTAAACCCTGAACTCCAGCGAAGACTTCAGGTAACTTCCCTCCGTGTCCGTGCCGCGCCGCTTGAGGTCAGCGGCGACGTTGGTTGGGAGGCCCGTCCTTGTTGGCGAGCCGAGGGTTTCAGGGCTGCTTGGGGGGTTGAGGGGGTTTAAGGGTTAGGGGTGTAGGGTTTAGGGGGCTAAGGTCTAGGAACGCATGGGTGTAAGGTATGGTTGACAGTTTGGGGATCCGGTTGGACTTGCGTCCGTCTGATCCAGAGTTCAAGTCTTATGCCGGCAGAAGCATGAAAAACCCTCAAACCGCACAACTTTCGCAGGCTCGGAGCTCGGGTCTCAAGGCCGAAGGGTCGAGTCTTTCGCCATTTCGCGGAGGACCTGGTTCAGAAGGCGGCCGCTCTCCGCGTCGATGAGGTCATCTGCGGCGCGGGTTGGTTTCGCGGCCATGGTTGCTATTGGATGTGTATACAGATGTATATACACGTGCATACCTACATACATACATACATACATACATACATACATACATACATACATACATCCATGCATACATACATACATCCATCCATCCATCCATGCATGCATACATACATATGTATGTATATATACATATATGTATGTATGTATATGTATATCTGTGTGTGTGTGCGTGCATGTGATATATTTTATCCAATACTATAACTACATATTTACCCATTTACTTTGTGCCTTTCTAAAAGAGCTCACCTTAACCTTCAGCTTCAGACCTGCAAACCCAGAACACTTCACCTAACCCTACAAAGCTTAACACACCCTGAGCTCCAGAAACCCTCTGCGCCTTCGTGGAAGGCTGTGTGGCCCAGCAGGTGCTCGGGGATGTTCGCGCGACGTCCGAGCCGTGAGGCTAGCAGTGCCGCCAGGGGAGCCAGGACAGCGAGCGCAAGGCGCGTGGCCATGGCTTCGCTGGATAGATGAATACGATTGAATATGAATATGTGTAAATATCCGCTCGTTTTTGCCTTTGTTTCTCAATGGCGCCTGGCTCTTGAAGTGAGGCTATGCTTTGGTTTTCAGCGGTTGCCTTGAGATGCTTCGTGTTGCTCCTCCCGGGCACGTTGGGGGGGGGGGGGGAAGAAAGGTCCTTGTTCGGCTTGTGCTCACTGCTCCACTCTTCAAAAGCTCAACAGCTGCGGCAGCAACCCCTAAGCGCCAAACCCTAAACCCTAAACCCTAAACCCTAAACCCTACACCCTAAACCCTAAACCCTAAACCCGGAAAAAGTCTGGAACAAGGATGTCTCCAACAGCGACGGGAATGTGGGATTCGTCATCCTGGCCTTGCGAAGCTGCTGCCAGCGGTGCCTTCACCGGTTTAGGGTTTAGGGTTTAGGGTTTAGGGTTTAGGGTTTAGGGTTTAGGGTTTAGGGTTCAGGGTTTAGGGTTTAGGGTTTAGAGTTTAGAGTTTAGAGTTTAGGGTTTAGGGTCGGGTTGCTGAGGTGGCACCTTCTGCAACGAGAACGGAAGTAGATCTGGCATAATTCATCAGCCTATCGATGGCAAGAACAACAGACAGAACCCCCTCATTCTAAGGGTGCTGAGCCCCAACGAGGTTGGGCACTCAAAAGTTTCTTAAGCAAGACAAGATCTTGAACCCAAACAATAGAAAAATGCACGAATATCCAATATCCTAGCTTGAAACCAAAATCATAAACCTGCAATCCTAAGCCAAACCCGAAACCCAAAGCTCGCAAGGGATCCCCAACGGCGCGAAGCCCTAAACCCTAAACCATCCCTAAACCCTAAGGCCCTAAGCCTTCATCCCTAAAACTTACCCCCCAAACTGTAAGCCCTCCGGGATATTCGCAGCCTTGCGGGGTCGCGGGCGGAGGCGGCTCACCTCGCGGACCTCAGGAACGAATGCGGAGTACGCAGGGGTTTAGGGCCTAGCGTTAAGGGTTTAGGGTTCAGGGTTGACAAGTTGAGGGTTTAAGGTGGAGTTTGGGGGTTTAGGGCTTAGTGCTTAGGGCGAGTGAGTCGTCTTCGGGGGGGTGAGGAACTGGCGGCAGAGGCGGTAGACGCGATGGCACGAAAGCCACTGGTCACTAGCCTTTGGGCTGCCAGCTGTATCGTGTCTTGCTTGAGTCGCCACCATGCATATCTGAACAGAAGCACGTCATGTTCAAAAGTTCACAAGTGCAAAAAACATTACCATGAACACAAGCATGGCTTTGTTGTAAGATGTTCCAAGCTATGCCAGAGTCTGATAGGCCCTCACCTGCCCAGTTTTTGAGAGGAGCTCATCACGCAGACACCTTCATAGCCAGCGGAACGTAGGGCGGAATGATCACCCTAACAAAGTCAGCGTGGGTCAACAAACTACCATGAGCACTTGACAGAAGCATCTCACGCACTGGGGGCAAGACAAGGTCCCGGGCAGGCTTGTTGAGCATGGCCTCTCCAGGAAACCCCGCAACAAGTTTGGCTCCAACTGCTCCTGCCTCCACCCTGATGGCACGAAAAAACTCTACCCCCTGAACCGAAACCTTGATTCTCAAAACGAAACCGTAAAACCAACCAGAAACCATGCTCAGGGGCAAGAGCCCTAGACCCAACCCCAAACCCCAAGCCCTACTCGATGCCCTACCCATGCGCGCGGCAACAAGGGTGGGCGCACCCATCGCAACTTCAGCGGCGACGGTCCCACTTTGGAGTCCTTCGGACAGCAGCTGAACAACGGCGCAGACCTTCTACAGCCGGAGACGCCAACAATCACAATGATACAAATCGTGGCACAGGAAACAAAAAGCAATAAGAGCCATACAAACGTTTAAACAAGCCAACGAAATTCGTAGCATGATAAGAAGGAAGCATAAAGAAGAAGCAGAAGAATAAGAAGGTTCGCAATCGTTGTAACAACAAGCACTAGCAGTATTACTCAGAATCTTCCAATAATCATCAGCAGCAGCAGCAGCAGCAACCGAGGCGGCAGCCATGCACAACCCATGGCAATTCTTTGGAACAGCTCTAGCCAACCAGCGTCGTTGCCTTGTAAGAGTACCAAGCCATACAGCCCTGAACCACAAAACACCCCGAAGCACCTAAACCCCAAACATAATCCCTAACCCCTTCACCCCCAAACCAAAACCCCTGACTAAGTCCCTAACACCTCCAGCCCCTAACCAAAACAAAATCAACCTAACCCCTAAATCCCTAAACCATACACCCATAAATCCCTAATCGCCACCAAAGCCCTAGATCCCGAAAACCCTAAACCTTGGGATGTTCCCCCTATGCTACCCCCAAGTATAATCCCTATTCAGGACTGTTAGTATAAGGGGGAACATCCCAACCTAAACCCTAAACCCTAAACCCTAAACCCTAAACCCTAAGCCCTAAACCCTAAACCCTAAACCCTAAACCCCGCAAAAACCTTCACCATCCAAGGCCATCCTTCGGGTACCGCGGCTGCGATAGGAGCGGCGTCGGCCGGTCTTGGCAAGCTGGCGTGAAACTCTCTAGGGTTTAGGGTTTAGGGTTTAGGGTTTAGGGTTTAGGGTTTAGGGTTTAGGGTTTAGGGTTTAGGGTTTAGGGTATTTTAGGGTTTAGGGTTTAGGGTTTAGGGTTTAGGGTTTAGGCGTCAGGGGTTTAGGGTTTAGGGTTTCGCGTCTAGGGTTTAAGGTTTAGGGTTTAGGCTTTCCGGTTTCGGGTTTAAAGTGGGGTGGGGGGGGGGGAGTTGTTAGGGGTGCTAGGATTTAAAATCTTGAGATTTAGGGCTTTTAGGGCCGAGTCCCTCCTAACTCCCTCCTCCGCCTACCCCAGCCCCGAAACTTCGAAACAACAAGCCTCTACGGCACATGAACCACAACAAACCTACACCCTAAACCCGAAACCCTAAACCCCTTAATCCCCTTAAGAACCCCCTGAGACCAGAGGCCAGAGCCGCCAAGACCCTGCAGTAGGACCCAAAGAGCCCAAGGTTCGAACAGACCTTCTTTCTCTGTCGCGGGGCTCTTATTCATGAATTCGGGCCTTCCCCTGCAACAGGGGCCTAACCCCTAAAACCTTCAGCCCGAAGCCCCCCTGTAAACCCTACAAAACCCCAAAACCCTGCAAAACCCCAAACCCCAAACCCTAAACCCTACAAAACCCCAAAACCCCAAACCTCAAACGCTGAACCCACAACAGCCGCAACTGATCGACGGAGCCGGGGCCCTCGCCGTCCGCCTCCATGTGCCTCAGGAGCAGCGCCTGTTGCGCTTTCGCCTGCGCCAAGGAGTCTAGGGCTTACAAGGTTAGGAGAATCGTATGTTCTAGGGTCCAGGGATTGGGTTTAGGGTTTAGGCTTTAGGGTTTAGGGTCTAGAGTTTAGGGTTTTGGGTTGAGGGCTTAGGGTTAGGGTTTGTGTCTGGACTTGGGGGGTTGGGGCCAAGTTAGAGGCAGTTGAGGGTCCAAGCTTTAGGGTTTAGGTCGGGCTGAGCGTCGTGGCCATCGCGGCTCCATACGACCATCGGCCCCTCGTATCGGGGACACAGAATGTACAGGGTCTTGGCCTCAAGGGTTTTAGTGTTTAGGCTGTGGGTTTCGGGCTTCGGGTTTTCAACTTCAGGGTTGTTCGGGGCTTGAGGGTTTCAGGGCAAGGTATACAGTTCAGGGTTCAGTGGTTCGGGGCTTCCGGGTTTTCCTAAACCCTAAACCCTAAACCCTAAACCCTAAACCCTAAACCCTAAACCCTAAACCCTAAACCCTAAACCCTAAACCCTAAACCCTGCACAGCCTTGAGGCGATCCAGCGACAGGCTCACCCAGCCGATCGTCTCATCGACCTGGCCAGGAGAGCACGTGGCTCCAGCCTACCTCAACCCTAAACCCGAAACCTGAAACCCTAAACCTGAAACCCTAAACCCTAAATCCCAAACCCCTGAAAACCCTGAAAAAGGTGAACATCACCAGAGCAAGAACTTATCAACCCTAAATCCTAAACCCCTTAAAACCCTGAACATCATAAGAGCGAAAACTTTATCAACCATTCAACAAGAAGAAGAGTAAGAGTAAGAATAAGGATAAGAATAAAAACAATTGGAGTAAGAATGAGGAGTTGAAGCCGTGAGGCAAGGGTTCAACGGAGGTGTGCCGACAAAGGGCTTCCGTCACGCGAAACAAAGACCCAGAGCCAAAGCCTCTTCGAGCTGGTTGTTGTGCTCTGCTTCGATCAGACCTTCTCTCAAGTGGCAGGCCCCCTTCAATTAGGGAACCCCAAAATTAAAAAGGGGGTTCAGGGTTTAGGGCTTAGGGTTTAGGGTGTATGGTTTAGGGTTTAGGGTTTAAAGCATTCTCCTGCTCAGCATCAGAGGAATCTCGTGGTGCAAAGGATGTACTTTGATCCGTCTTTGCCCGTGGTTGTGCAGTTCTTTCTTGTTTCTGGGGACGTACCCGATTTCTTATCTGAACAACTTAAAACCCTAACCCCTAAACCCTAAACCCCTAAACCCTAAACCCTAAACCTAAACCCTAAACCTAAACCCTAAACCCTAAACCCTACTACTGTAGAAACCGAGCAAGCTCTCGCTGAGCCCCTGGCGCGTCGACCACATCTGGGCATAGGACGTCAGCTCCTGCACGCCAACTCCCTGAAACTTTATGGTGTGGAGACTTCCGGTTTTGGGTTTGGGGTTTAGGTCTAGGGTTTAGGGTTTTTCATAAGGTTAGAGGGGGGGGTCCCCCAGATTTCCACCCCCAGGTTGAGGCTCCTGGGCCCCCGAACAGATACAGAGCTACTAAGGCTTATTAGCCTCTAATAAACTAAAATAAGCCTCTATTAAAGGTTATTAGCGGCTAATAAGCTTTAATAAGCTGTGTATTGCTTTCCGGTGTTTTGGGGAGGCTTCGGCGGCTTTTCTGAACAGACGCACAAGCTGTATCCGCGCGACTATACGTTCAAGGACATGCTGCATCTGTTCTGAAAAGGCAAATACAGGAAGAAAAGATGAAAAAAACATCAGTAGCCGAGCAAGGAGCAGGGTCAACAAGTCAGGGTTCACGTGTGCTGTTCCAGCCAATGGCCGGCTAGTGTGCAACATGGATGTATGCCTCTTGCCTTAATGGAATTGTGCTCCGCAAACGTTAAGCACGCAGCACTGACATTTGCCTCGTCCATTTATGCCCAGGTCAAGTCCGTCTACTACTCCAAGATCGCACGCTGGTCTTGCCTGTGTTCCGCCTCCCAAATCATGAGCAGTACCAATGGGCCATGGCCGATGTTCTAGAGGCCCTGTACCCCTCTAGCGAGAAGCACAAACGAAAGAGAAAATTTCACAACGTGTTTGAGGACGTACAGAGTATGCACCGCAAACTTTGGCCTTCGGTTACGTGTCCGAAAATTATTCCTGTAGATGAGTTGCAGGAGGCCAGCTTCGGACACGTCATGCCAACTTCCATGGTAGTTGCGACACTTGCTTGGGGGTGGACGGCTTCGAAACGCAGTCCAGACTCGAAGCAGTTGTGTGGAATGATGCTGAAGGCCCTGATCCAGAATGTTACGAAACATGAGGAGGGAGTTGAGGTTAGTTTTCCTGTCGTGGAAGCAGATGGGACGGCACAGATCAGGCAACAGGTGGTGTTGAGCGATGGTGTTGTTGATTGCTGGACAGATTCCATGTCCGAGGCAGTCGGCACGAGCTGGGATTCGAGTGTCCTTGACGCCAGCACACATTTCCCAAAGAGTCCCCGCAATCAAACACAGCTGTATGATTTCATAATGTGGTCTTTGGAGCCCACACCGGTCAACAGTCGAGAGCCAAAGCTGAAGAAATGTCGCGCGTTGCTTGCGGCTTCTGCTTTGACGTTGCTGACCAATGTGGCCTCAGCAATTGAGAGCCGCTACATCCCGTTTCTTTTTGCCGAGATGGCCAAACCAGGTGGACACAATGAGTTTTCTATCCAGAGCAGCACAAATTCCAAGCGCCGACGACTGAACACGCTCACGGCCAATGTCGTGTCAGCTGGAGCAATGGAGCTTCTGTTTCGGGGGGAGGACAGCAACTGCAACTGTAGTCGCACGGTACGTACATATCTTCTCCTTCCCCCCCCCCCCCTCCCAACGCAACCTGCCTGCTTTCAGGAGCGGTGGGCGCAGAAAGCGTTGGACGCTTTCAGCAAGACAGCGAGAGTGCGTGTGGGGCAGTTGGCGCACAAAGTCTGCGTATCCTGCTTGCAAGATGAGAGAGTCCTGCCTGCTGCGACGTAGGTCCCAGACATTCCCACTGTAACTGAGGCGGCCCATGTCTTGCGTGCCCGGGCTGAGCTCGCAGAGTGCAAGCACTTCACCGTCATGCCCCCATCTTTGTTGTGTGTGTGTGTGTTGCGCAGAGCTCACGAGCTTACAGCAAAAGAGCTTCAGGTCTTCATAGATGGCAGTGAGATTGGCGAGGTTCCGACAGAGATTGTTTATCTTTGGAGTCAGCAAATCGGTGCTGGCGCCTATGGTCCTCCCGTCGCCGAGCTCTCAGTCGTAGGCTATGGCCTGGACCTAGTGCGCTGTTCTGCGGATCTGCGGCATGCGGCAACTGGCGGCAACCTGTCTTGAACACTGGGTCAAGCAGTGACATGTCTTAGTGGTAGTGCGCCCCACGCTCATGGCTGGATGGTTGCAGTTCTCGAGCCCGAGACAGGGCAAAGACAGTTGGACGGAGGTGTCTAGGTATACTGAGTCCGTCACAAGCAGCGTCAGCGACGCTGAGCTGCGAACCGCGGCGTCCGAGAGCGGAAGCTCTGTTAGTGGAGCTCCCTTTGAGGCTCGGGCGCTGCTTGCTTCCCTGTGCTTGTGTCACCTTGCCCTCAACGCACGCCTGTTTTGTGGATCAGGTTCCGGACAATGAGTCGCCGTTGGCAACAGCAGCTCGTGCTCTTCCCATGGCATGGCACTTGTTGAGGAAGAAAGTCTTGCCGGAATGGGTGATCCAGGCTCGCAGAATGGCTTGGCGGGATTGTTGTTTTGCATCAAGACTGAACCTTCCCTGCTTGCAGGCCAGCTTCTTGCAGAAGGGCTGCTGGAACATGTCATCCAGTTGCACCGGGGCGTACACAGCTGAAATGGCCGCAGGAACAGTGGCCAAAGTCGTCAATGATTCTGGTCTTTGCTCCAAGCAATGTTCTATGAGGTCCGTGATGTGTCATGACTCTTGCCAGCAGGGATAGCTTTCTGTGGCGTGCACAGGGGACATGATCCGTGTCTACAGTGTGTGTCTTGTCTAAGGAACGGGACGCTGCGTGTCGGCAGCTTGTCATTGACCACCACAAATGGATGGAACAATCCGGAATTCCTACTTCTCGCCGTCTCCCCTGTATCTTTGGCGACATCTTGGATCAGCTGCCTGCCTCTGTGGACAGAGAGGCAGGTGACTTTGCAGCAAAGAGACGCCGCGTCAGGGCGGCGGGACTGCTAGAGACCCAACACTGCTGGGTCCACAATGATGCATGTCGGTTGGATGTGCCTGTTCAGATAGATGTGTCGGGGCTTCCATGTCCTGACAACTCACGTGCGAATTTGAAGAGGAAGTTCCAGGAAGGGGGCTCCGGCATCGTCTATGCCACCTGGGCGCAGCGTCACATACAGAAACGCACCCCTCTTCTCCTCATTGAGAACGTGCCGGTGCCTTGGGCAAATACGTATGACACGTCTCTCTCTCTCTCTCTCTCTCTCTCTCTCTCCCTCTCTCTCCCTCTCTCTCTCCCTCTCCCTCTCCCTCTCGCTCTGCCTCTGCCTCTGCCTCTGCCTCTGCCCCTGCCTCTCCCCTCTCCCTCTCCCTCTCCTCCCTTATGCTACAGTTCCGGCTTAGGACATCAACGTGGCAGCCCTGCGAGATTTGCTCGAGGAGGACTACATTCTCACACAGTTGCGCATATGCCCCTCCGATGCCGGCCACACGGGCGTCGCACGACCCAGGACGTACGTGTTCTGTTCGCACAGGAAGACGTGCCGGTACTTGTTTTGCCTGCACAAGGCATACAGCATCATCCAGGCGACACTGGAGAAGCACATTTGTACGTCTCCTGCAGACTACTTGGTCGCGTCACCCGCGCAGCTGCGTGTGGCATGTGAGAAGGCTGCCCGACAAAGGAGAGTGGATGTCTGTTTCGAGACTTGGTCTGCAGTCATTCAGGGAATCCATGTGTCATGCGCTGCTGCTTGTGGCATGCGAAGACACGAGTCATCCGAGGACCAAACAGATTGGTCGTCCATGCTCAGCCAGGCTGAGCGCGACCAGGTAGCCTCCTACACGGCCAAGTATGAGGCCAGGTTCCGACGCCGTGCCGCTGATGACCCGGACCTTGTCTTCTTTTTGGGAGACACCGCGCGGTGGTGCACATGGAGTGCTTGCAGCCGGAAGATCCCGACGTTTCGGCGTGGAAGCGGGAAATTCTGGTATCCTGCAAGTAGACGGTGGCTAGTTGCCTCCGAAAAGCTAGCTGCGCTAGGGTTTCCGGGCACGGCGGCCAGTGCTGCAGTTCTAGGACTGCATGTCCTTCCTGTCACAGACCCACTTCGTGCAGACTCGGTGTACGGAAACAGCATGCACTTCAGCAACTGCCAGCTCATGATGTTGCTGGCCGTCACGTGCTTCGGGCCTGTCGCTCGTGAGCCCACTGTGGACTGGAACAGACTAGCGTGATCCCGCAGACGGACAAATCGCGCCTGTGCAGGCCGAAAAAATAACGCAGGACATGCGGCGCAACAGGTTCCGCGCTTGTGGGGTCATGTAGCCATGTCTTGCATAACCGTAGACTTGGTTGTTCAAGCAAGCAGTTTCGAGCCAGAAGCCTGACTCACAATGCCTCCGCCCGGTCGTCTTCCTGCGCGACCCCCGCCCAAGAAAGCAGCTCCTGTCAAAGCTGCCGCAAAGCCCCCGCCAGCGAAGAGTGTGGCAAAGCTGCCTGCCCCCAGGCCCGCTTTCCCAAAGCCAAACATCCCAGGCCTGGCCGTCCCAACGCCAAAAGCTGTGTTAGCAAAGGGCCGCCCAGTCTTCGACCCCCGCAACGTGCCTGCCGCTCCCGCCCCTGCCACGACTTTGGCACCACCGCCGCCTGTGCCGGCGAAGCCTCCCGCAATTACGTCGGGCACTCAGAGTTCTTTCGGAAAGCAGGAGTCATGTTTCTTGTGTCCCCTCACTGCTGCCTTAGGTGGGCAGATGGCTTTGTCGTGGGAGACATCCCACTGGGCCGTGCTCCTTGCGGTGCCAAGTTGAAAGCTCCGGCCAAAGCTCCGGCCAAAGCTGTGCCGGCAAAGTCAGCTGGTGGCTCCAGACGCCGGACCGTAGAACGGTATGCGGCAGGCTACCACAACATATCTTACCTCAGCGACGCTTGTCTCTGTTGACTGGGCCGGCACATGTTGGCTGTTGTGAGTGTAGGTCTGGTAGGCTGACAGCAAGCATCAGCTAAGGACTCGCACTTAATCGACTGGCTGTCGAACATAGATGGTGACATGATGACTGAAGTCATGTTGCAAGCCTGTGACCGAGAGCAGCTGCTCTGTTTGCTTTACTTAAGCACAGGCTTGACACCCACGAGCCGCATACCGGCGTGCCTCGGATTCGCATGGGGATAGTGTTGGTTTAGAGTTAGGGCTTAGGGCTGGGGGTTTCTTTTTTAGGGTTTAGGATTCGCAGGTCTGACCCTGAGAGAGGGAGAGAGAGAGAGCAGCAGTGCTCAGGTCTGAGCGCCTGGACTGCATCGACAAGCTCCTGCGAGAGTATCGCAGATTGGGTTGCCCGATGCAGCAGCTACGCTACAACGGCCAGCAGGCACGTGAGTGCCCGAGCCTGCAAGTTATAGCATGCAAGCGTATGTCATTGTCTCTTGAAAGTAATTGGTACACTTGTTCAGCTTTGCTTCTTGTTACCGGAAGCATCCCGTTCGAGGCACGTGCAGCAGCTTATGTCGGGAAACCAGGCCGCACCAGCGGCGGGAGAGCCTGAGGCCGGCGCGGAAGCCGGTGGGGAAGCCGGCGCCGAAGCCGGCGCGGAAGAAGCTGTGGAGGATACCACAGCCGTGGTGCCGTTTGAGGGGGAAGGAGACCCACCGTTTAGTCTTGCAGGAAACCTGCAGGTGTGGGTGGAGTGGACGAACGGCCAATGGTTTGTGAATGCACAGAATGCAGATGTGGGTCAGGAGGTGCAGGCAAGCTTGCCTCACGTGACGTCCGACGGACAGGGGTTCTGGCAAGCAACGCAGATTGAAGGCGCATGGTTTCTGTGGCAGGGCGGGGAGACGGAGATGCTCGCGTTGGGTGAAGTTTTGAACTCAGGCGGTTCATCCTCTGGGCCGGCAGGCTCGAGCAAGGTTGAGGCGGTGCTGACAGGGCAGAGCAACCAGCCAAGCTTACTGCCAGGGATGCGCCTCCCTGATGAGGAGGAGAACAGCTTGCGTGGCAGTCCGTTTCATGTAGTGAAGTGCGTGTGCGTAGACAACAGTCTTTTTGCATGCATGCAGGACGAGGAAGAGGACCCCGAGCCGACCTACCCGTGCATCATGTTTCAGGAAGACGGATCTCAGGTGATTGCAGCGTCCCCGGATTTGATCATCCCGCTGGACACGACCATCCCATGCGAGCTCCTGACAGGGCCCAACGGTCAGGTCTTTGTCGACGCAATCGACAAAAACCCATCATTCAAGCCGCGCTACCTGGCACAGCTGGAACGCAAGCACTTGGCGAGTCTCGGTTGATTTCAATTTTGTGCTGTGTTGAGAATTGGCTTGCGCAGCACGTCAAGTTGGAATCGCCCCAACTTGGGGGACCCCCCATCTGGGACCCCCCCCCCGCGTAGCCCCGGGACCCCCCCAGCCAGTGGTGCCAATCTGGGGGTTCCAATCTGGGGGCCTAATCTGGGGGCCCCCCCTAGCGTTCATGTGGCCGTGTTGCCCGGCTTCGGGCCCCCTCCATTAAGGAATAGCCTAGTGTCAGTAGGCCCTACAAAGGAGCCTACTCTGTGTGATAGCATCCCCTTAAGAACAATAATAATAGAACGAGCACCCCTTTTAAATTTAAGGGTTTAAGTTAAGGTTTCGGGTTTGGGGTTGAGGGTATAGGGTTGAGGGTTTAAATTCCAATCCCTCATGCTTCGGAAGTTTCAGGGTTTAGGGTTTAGGGTTTAGGGTTAAGGGTTAAGGGTTTAGGGTTAAGGGTTTAGGGTGCTTTGAAGGGTTTTTTCGGAGGGTGGGAGGGGGGGGTCACCCCCAACCTTCCCCTTAAGCCCTGCTTATTTGCCCCCCCTACCCCCCCAACCTTCCCCTTAAGCCCTGCTTATTTGCCCCCCCTACCCCCCCAACCTTCCCCTTAAGCCCTGCTTATTTGCCCCCCTACCCCCCAACCTTCCCCTTAAGCCTGCTTATTTGCCCCCCACCCCCCCAACTCTTCCCCTTAAGCCCTGCTTTTTGCCCCTTCCCCTTAAGCCCTGCTTATTTGCCCCCCCTACCCCCCCAACCTTCCCCTTAAGCCTTGCTTATTTGCCCCCCCTACCCCCCCAACCTTCCCCTTAAGCCCTGCTTATTTGCCCCCCCTGCCCCCCCATACAAACCCCTCCAGCCCCCCTCCCCTCCTTACCCTTCCGCCCCCCACCCCCCCCCAACCCCTCCTTACCCCCCCCTGCCCCCCCAAATAAGCCCCAAATAAGCCCCAAATAAGCCCAAATAAGCACCAAATAAGCCCCAAATAAAGCCCAAATAAGCACCAAATAAGCCTAAATAAGCTGAATGGTGGGGTGGGGGGGGTTTGGGGGGTTTGGGCTGTGGGTTTGGGGGAGGGGGGGTAAGGAGGGGTTGGGGGGGGGGGGGGGGGGGGGGGGGGGGGGGGGGGGGGGGGGGGGGGGGGGGGGGGGGGGGGGGGGGGGGGGGGGGGGGGGTAGGGGGGGCAAATAAGCAGGGCTTAAGGTTGGGGGGGGG